ACCGAACGTTAGAGATTAACCACTGACACTCAAATAGTTATCCATGTGGAATCTCTCGACGGGTCTCCAATGTTCTGTTCTATAACAAAATATCCACGTGTTCATTTAAGTGTCACTACACTTTAACTTGTGAGATCAGCTACTTACTTCACAAGTAAGAAATGCCACACGTGATGGTCTATCCGTAATAACGATATCCGTATCTCGTTATTACTTACGACCACGGATGATTTATGATTCAATCATACGTAATTTACAACTTATAATTACAACTCCTTGTGATTAACAAATTACAAATATTTGAATCTACGGACCCTATTATTTATTTAATTGTCTATTAATTAAATAATAGATCTGTCATTTAATTGCATTAATTAAATATAAAAGTATTTATGTCCAAAGTTGATTGGATCTAAGGCATAATACTTACAATAAGATGGCCCAGAGAACGATATTCAAGTTCCTTAAATCCTTAAGCAGGGGCGGAGCCAGGAATATACGCTGCGGGGGGCTATGGTGCTCGGATTCGGCTACAGGGGGCTTTTTTTTTTTTTTTTTTTTAAAGTTGATTAAATTCAAAAATAACAAAAACAAAACAATTTTTATAATATAACATTATCTAAAATTGCACCTAACAAGATTTTACATCATAAAATCATTTATAATAAATCTACATATAAATTCATAGTAAATTCTCATTCGATATAAAGTTTCATACAATCAACAAGAAAACTATTATCCATTTTGTTCCAAAAAGTAACTAAACTAAGAAAATTTCATCACTAGCACTCAAGACGATGAATTAAAGGACCACACGAGTGCGACCGTGCGAGCTAAAAAAATCGGGTGTGTAGATCAAGAAATTTGAAAATAGAAACACATGAATTAATGTATAACAAAAATTTTAATTATATCATGATCAAAAAAATGTTAATTATACATACTCAATTATGAAACACTATAAAAAAAAAAAATTTAATACATGAAAGTAAATTAATATGTATGCACATATACACTATAAACAAAAAGTCAAAGTGTTGGGCATATGGGCTTATTTTTTTCAAAATAATAGTGATATTGTGTTGGGACTGGCTTTGCAATTGGGCTGCTATTGGATTGATGGTGGGCTAAGTGATTAAATTTCTATTTTTAATGGACCATTCCTTCCATTTTCTTGGATATGGGCTTGGGCAATACTGGGGGTTTATGAAGTAGAGCCCTCCCCCATCTTCGCCCATGTCCTTAAGTTAGGTACAGAGCGTTCCCATGTTCTTTAGACTTAGTATTTCAACATAGAATCCACATGTTCTTTAAAAGAAAGACATCATAGGCAACACATGAATGCAATCGTGTACTTAAAAATCTCGCGTTCCTTGAATATGCCTGGTTCAATACAAACAAGATATGGAACATTATAGCGCTACAAACTAAGCGCATGTTTGAGTCCCATTTTTACTAAGAATGCATTTTAAAATAATAGATTGATGGAGAGGGTGTAGTTAAAAAATAAGAAAAAGTTTTGGGTTTGAGAACGAGAATGAGTGGTTGAAAAAAAGAGTGATCAACATCAGAAAAGTAGCTGTACTCATTTTCCTTCGCTTAAGTTTTATCTCATTGGGTTTTTCTTACGATGTTTTAATGAGGCAGTGTTTATTTTTAATATTCCAAAATAGCTGTACTTTTTTCCTTCGTTTGATTTTTCTCCCATTGCATTTTATCAAATAAGGTTTAAACGAGTCAAATATTTTGTAATGTATCATTCAAGAATGAATGTTATAAATGGTAAGTTTATTAGTGAATGACAATTGTAGATCTACAATCCTATAAATTATTACCATTGTATCCTTAATTCTTACCTATAGATATAGAATTTTGATTCTTAATAAATACAAACAAAAATTTATTGATTTTCATTATCTCCTCCTTTTCTCTCTTTTTATAACAGTTAGAACATTCAGAGATAACTTCAATATTGAGCAACAACGATGGAATGGGAATACGCCATGTACAAAATAATAAGATTCCATGTATCTGTCACTCAAATTACTTCTAACGAAAGGGGGACAAAGAAGAAAGAAAAATACAATCATGTCCAAAACTGATGACTGCATTTTCTGTAGCATGCCTACGATCTAATTATTCATTTCTGTCCACGGGGGAACAGAAAAGTAAAAGAAAAAAAGCTTTATATAACTTGTTAATTACACTGGGATCTGGTGAAACTATAAAAGCAGATAATCTAGAAAATCAGATAAATTTAGGTTTAGGCATGGATGAAGAAATATGATCTGTAGGACCAAGTTTTTGAATCCAGTGAAGTAGTCCCTTCTTATGATCACGATATTCCGGGTTCTGTACCAGGCTCAGGGTTCCATCTTGGGCAAGTGAAGACTGGAACTGCTCTAATACCTTCACGATCTGCCAAAACTCGGGCCTCTTGTCTGGTTGCACAGACCAACATTGTTCAATCAAAGCTTTCAGGGCCGACGGGCAGCCCCCAGGGATAACAGGTCTCATGTTCTGCAAAAAATATGGAAAGGGTCAATAAAAGGAAAAACGTAAATTACAGAGCCAAAATATTAACGGGCCAACTTAATTTTATTTGCTAAATATAGTCCCGTTTGGCATAATTTTTGCTTTTACCCACTTCCTATAGAAGAGCTTTTAAAGGAAACTAACTTAATTTTTGTATGGAAACTAATTTTTAAAAAAACTTCCTATTGCAAATGCGTTTTTACAGGAAGCCATACCCGACCAGCTCCCTTCAAAAGTTCTTAAAATTAGAAGAAGCACTTCCATAAAACCATCCAAATAGGACCAAAAGTAACTTCTAGATCCCAAAAGTTCCCTATGACTTTTCAAAAGCCATGCCAAACCGTCCATAATGTGATGCCAATAAGTATTGCCAACTGCAAAAATGTTACAAATATTGAAGAACAAAAAAATCACCTTGCTCACAACAGCATAAGCAGCTTGAATAGGCGTCTTATCTTCATAAGGGATAGTTCCAGACACAAATTCCCATATTATGAGTCCAAATCCATATACATCGACCTTCCGACCATAGTGCTTCCGCCTGATCATCTCGGGTGCCATCCAACGGTAAGTACCAGGGTCATCTGCCAGAAGATCACAGTGCGTTTCATCACAAGCTATACCAAAATCAGCAACTTTCAGGTGAAAATCTTCGGTTATGAGTATATTTTCTGGTTTAAGGTCCCGATGAATAACGTGCTGTGAGTGAATGTACTCCATTCCTTTAGCAATCTCCAAAGCCATTGACAGTAATGTTTGCAATGGAAGAGATTTATGCTCAAGCTTGTGCAAGTATGCTCTCAAAGAACCCTCTGATAAATATTCTGTCACAATGCAAAATACAGGTGGCATTTTGGATGCTGCTATGAACTGCAATGCCAGATCATTGCAAAAGATGTAAAAAGGAGTTTGATGAGAAATAATCCTCAAACTTTCTCAACAACAACAGCAGCAACAGAACAAACTAAGTTTCTCAATAAATTTGTGGTCGGCTACGTGATTCTTCATCATTCCACAGTTCATTACTACATCTATCAGAAGATCCAAAGCAACTTATACTCTAAATTCACAGAATAAAAAACTTAGAGAATTCAAAATAAAAGGTGGCCAATTAATTAGACATGGAATGGGAATCAAGTACCTTTATAACATTTGGATGGTGGAGACGGGACAAGAGAGTAACTTCCCTTGCAAACTGATTCTCCAACCGTACATCCAGGGCTCTAGTTTCGTCATCCTCTGGTACTCTGATAATTTTCACCGCAACTGTTTCATCATTGTAGACCCCATGGTAAAGATGACTGTGAGCCCCATGAGCAAATCTACGCCCAAGAAATAACTTAGAAAGATCAATCATGCTATCATCCGCAGTTTCTACAGAGATGACCCTCCCCACACCATGATCAAAATACTTTGTCCAGCCATCCTTACGAACCTTAGACTTCTCATGAAATTTCATTGATGTGAAGTGCTTAAGGGGACTGGCATTCACTGGAAACTTTGAACCAGGAATTTTCAATTTTGTTGACTTGCTTTCATGGGAATCTTTATGAAACAACTTGCCAACAATTCTCTTATCGGATTCTTTTCTTTGTGGATGTGGAGTCGAGAATCTCTTCTGACTAGACCTAGCTTCCTTAAAGGTGTCAGAAACCTTCATTTCGGGGAGGGGTGATAAAGCCCTCGGCTTGTTTGTTGCAGGGCTTCGCTCAACTTGAGTGACTGTGCCTCCTGGTTTTGGATTCATGGTGACTGCTCTAGGCCTAGATTTGGCACCTGGAAATCTATCTGGCTGAGCAGAGAAAGGAACAGAGGCCAATAAAGAAGAATCTAACCGATGGCAAACCGTGTGAGAGAACTTGGTTCTCCTTATCCAAGAGCTAACCTCTTCATCCATCTTCACCTACTTTAATGCCCTAGTATTATTTACTATTCTTTCCCTCCTCCTCCTTCAGCCCCAACAAATGTTCAAAAATCAAGATTTTCCACCAAAATCCCTTTGAAATTCACATTTCTATGTTAAAATATAAACAGTGAAGAATCAAATTTCACCTCCATTGATATCTTAAAAACCTCTGATCCAATTAACAACTGCTAGATCCAGAAACAACCATACATCCAATATCATCTGTGAACACATATAAAAGCAGAAAATCTCTCAAATGTTAATCAACCATCTGAAATTTCAAACATTCCATCTTAAATCAATCCACATGTAACATGCTTACCTACCAAATACTGTTTCATACCTCATAAAAATATGATCAAAAGCTCGAAGGATCGAACAAACCCCCTCTCAGTATCAAAGTCAAACACCAACTTCCTTCGAAACCTGAAAAATGACACACACAGTCCCAGGAAAAATCAAAACCTATCGAATAATCATAAAGTAAAATAATTGTACACCAATCGCATCCAACCCAACGGCCAACAAGAAAACTAATCGTCGCTTTAATAAAGTAAATAAAAAGAACCCTTTTTCTTGAACCAAGAAACAAAAATGAACTTGCCCACAAACATAAAACAGGGATCTTGACTTACCAAAGGGTATATCTCTGAAGATATCCTTCCAGATATTCTTGAAACAACGAAATAAAATAAAAAACGACAATTATATTGAAAGAGCGCCACAAATTGCATGTCCCAGCATCATGAAATGGGATTCTCTATAAATCTCATTTATTATATATATATATATATAAATCGGTATAAAATTTTGAAAATTAAACGTATTTTATACGGAGAGGCTAGGGGAGCTGTACATGAATGATTCCACTGTGGACCATGTTAAGATGGAGGATGACGGTGGCAGGTTGGTTCAAGTTTTCGAAAAGTCAAGATAGATTAGAGAGTAAAAAAATAGGAAGAGAAAATATTATAAGAGGAAGAATACAAAAGTCACTGTCGTACATTTGTAGGTAAAGTTCAAAGTTTTGTTCTTTGCTCCTTTCGGTGAGATTGTACGAATTGCACGGAATCGTGTGATTGTTGTTCATTCAGAAACACAACATATTAATAATATCATTGCATTTTTTTGATATTTTCTTTGTTGGAATTGGAATTTTTGTTCGATGCAGTTAATTTTACGGTAAAATTTTGTTGATACGGGTAAAAAGTAAAAACAGCAAGAGTCCTGAATTCTTGAAATTTCATATTGGTCACTAAACTTTATTTTGTGCCAGAATAGTCATTGTACTTCATAAAATATTTTGACTAATCACTTGTCAATTTCCCATCCAAATTTTAAGTTTTAATTCATCACTGTGAACATATTCATTGGAAAATCCTAATCCAAAATCACAATTAGTTTATTTGCATTTTTTGGTTTCACCAAATATTTAATTGAAACAAACTTAGACGTCATTGGATGCACCACACATTATTCAATGTAACACTGAACTATCATAAAGTATGTATAAAATCCTAAAATTTTCACTAAGTTGTCTAAAACTTGGTGCCAAAACAATTTAAAAGAAAAAATTACTCCAAAATTAAGTTCAAATAGTCATTTTTTACTGGTAAAATTTTATTTATTTTTGTTTTAAACCTTTTTAAAATGGAAAAAGGAAAAATTATGGCTGATGTGCCCAACCTATTCAAAATGTATGAAGTAAGACCTTGACCTATTCTTTTGACAGATAACAAAAATTCCATTATGAAATAAAATATTCAGCAAAAGATTCAAAATATTACAATCTAAATAAAATGAATAATAAATTATAATTTTAAAAACATTACATGCAAAGCGAGTGGAAATCGATAATTGAAAATGAATATTTCTCAATTTTTATCAAGTACGACTTTACCAAAAACTCCCAATTTCTCGTGAATACATCAATTGTGCAGTCGAAAGCCTTTCTCCCCCCAAAAATAACTATTAAATGTCATCAATTATTACAAGTGTTCTAAATTTATATATGTTTAGTTTTCTTTAAGCAATAATATTGTTTCCAAAATATAAGCAAGCCCAATTTGTACTTTTCTTCCGTATACACCTTGCGACTTTCAATGGCTTTGTTCGAATTGTACACCATTGTGTCTTTCCTTCACTTTTTAAAGTGTTTCTTCATTAGTTTTTTATTAGTCTCAATATGGGGCTTCAATGAAGGCTCCTCACTAGCTCTCAGTTTCTTTTCTTTCTTTTTTTTCCTTTTCTTTCTTTCTTTCTTTCTTTTTTTTTTTTGTGTTATTATCATCCCCATTTCAAGCTGGTGGACCAATTGGGCTGAAAAGTTATACCATATATGCTTCATTCAATATAGTTGTTCGAAATAAGATTTCATCAACATTTCTTGATGAACATCATCTAACATCTCCCAAACATAATCTAATTTATGAAGGGAACCAATGCATAATATAAACTTTTATAAGTATTTGCAATCAGGAAGCAGAAACCAAGAACAAAGGCCTCCGGAACTTGAAGATGCTTTGTCTAGAATTAAACCAAAATGTAGTATTAGCTACCTACATTATACTAACATCGAGACTCCATTAAAAAATAAATACAATTTCTTGTTTATTCTTAATGATCCTAGTGCACAATGCAAAATCCTCATCTAATGGACCAGTCATTCTCAAGATGTTGTAGAGTCAACTCACAACATGAGTAAAGTAGCATTAGAGACCTTACACTAGTGGATTGAAGTTCTATAGCCATTGAATCTTCATTATTTTGCAAAGAAACAATATGTTTAAATAATCCCAATAGAGCACAAAACTTGAATAAATCGGCGAGAATTGAACACATGAAGTACCTCTATTAACAAATTCCGTTCTCGTAATCATACCAATAACACAAGATGCACGGGGAAGAACTAGTATGTCTTCGTCCTAGTTGATGAAACAAATTATATACTTAGATCATCAGTAAAGCGTGCAACATTATAAGAAATCATTTGAACCTCATTACAAATCTGGAAAATTAAAATATAAAGCGAAGACATTCAGAGTTACTAATGATAATTTCCACCTTCATTAATGACATGTCTTTAGGAACAATATATGGAGGGGAGTTCAAAAATGGAGAAAGATCTGTCGATCCCAAAGGGTTGTAAAGAATAAGATTTAATGACGATGTGAAGTCATAAAAATCACAACAAGAAACAAGATTAAAAGTAAAAAAATAAACAAAGAGAATTTATCACAGAGGAACGATGTATTATAAACTGACAATATGGAGAGAAATTACAGACATAGTAATAATTCTTAAACAAAACTGACAGAGAAGCATTGCATTTATAGGCCACGTTTCCAACCCTAGAAGAGTCATAACAGGAAAAAATATATTACAATTAGGAGATCCAATTTCAATGGAATTTCGTTTCCTTGTTGTTGAATGTAGTTAGACTAATTTCCAACACCAACAACACGGGATTCAAGACTCATATTTGAGTCACAACTCAAACAATCTCCACCTTAACTCAAATTTCGATACAATGAGCGGAGCTCCACAAAATTTCTCCACCTAAGAAATAAACTCATTTACATCGAAATGAAATGGCAAATCTCCTCAACGTAGTAACCAAAACTCTCCATATAAACCATCGTCCTCTGCACGGCGTCCACAAGCGACACCTAAACCCTATTCCCGGTTTCTAAAAATTTCACCAAAGAATTAATATTTATCAAATAGGGTAGAAGCACACTCTGTAGCAGAAATTATGCAAAATGCCTGAACAGAAGGCCCATTATTAGAACTGTCGTCTTTAACGTCCCAAAAACATTACAGACATCACTAACACCATGGTACCTACACTCAATGGATCCAATTCTAGCAACTGAACACGGTGCAATCGCTAAAATTGGTGGCAAAGCGGAATCACCAACTCTCTCTCGAGCAATGTTTTGAACCGATCCAGAACTCGTCACAAGAGCTACTGTACCAAACTGAATATCCACCACGATACTGAACTTGTCTATATATCTCTTAACTGGTTCTGCGTTATCCTACAAGATGTACAACTAATACATTCTTCGTCCCTCTAGTACAACCCAGACACCCTTTCGCACCTTCAAGACTTGACCTCCACCAGAGAATTTATACCCTTTTACATCTAGCGTACTAAACAAGATGAGATTCATTTTCAGGTCTGGAACATGTTGAACCTGATCAATTATTCTGACTGTCTCATCTCGCAGCCTAAATCTGACTTGACCGATCCCAGCAATACAGCAAGACTAGTTGTTTCCCATTATAAGTCCACCTTGCTGAGTAGCTTCATGTGTCTGAAAGAAGTTTCGATTGAAATACATATGATGCAAACATGCTGAATCAAGAATCCACTCCTCGTCGGGCCTAGATTCCACGTCAGATACCACGGTCAACATCACATCTCCGCCATCTGAAAAATTCTCAACTACATTTGTTTCGTCTGAAGTCAAAGGTTGCGCTACAAAATTTGCAGCTAAATCACCTTTAGCCTGCAACTTATCGCAATCCTTCTAAATCTATCCCTTACATCTGTAATTGAAGCAAAAAAAATTATTGTTATTCTTCGATTGCCCCTCCATGGACCACCATGAGATACAAGAGCTTCATCATCCCTCGATATAGCTCCAACCAAATACTTCAACTTCTCCTTTAAGTGCAAAGTATCATAAACGTCGTCTATAGTCAAAGTATCCCGACTATCAAAATGGTGTTCCGAAATAATGCATAAGAGCCAGGCAACAAACCCAATAGGATCAAGGTCAAATCCTCTTCATCATACTTAACCTCCAACGTCTCAAGATCTATAACTATTTCCTTGAATACGACAATATAGTCCTCCAGTGACCCTCATTCCGCCATGCGATGGGAATATAGCTTCTAGTTTAGAGCCAGTTTGGTCGTGAGACTTTTAGTCATGCATAAATGCTCCAGTTTCAACCACAAGACAGTCGCTGTTTTTTCCTTCAAGACATCTTGTAAAATATTGTTGGATAAATGAATATGGATCTGGGATAAAACCTTCTGATCCCTTCCATTGTTTCTCTTCTTTTATCCAATCAACTGACATCTTCTCAAAACCTAACAGTGCATCGTCTAAATCTAACTGCGCCAGAATAGCCATTATCTTTACTTACCATAAAGAAAACCTTATATTACGATCCAGCAGCGGAATGTCATACCTCATGGTAGTTATCTCTGAAAAAATCTCAACCAATTTACAGAAGAAGAACCAAGCTCTGATATCACTTGTTGATCCCAAAGGGTTGTAAAAATGAGAGTTAATGACGATGTGAAGTAATAAAGATCACAACAAGAAATAAGA